ATATATATATATATATATATATATATATATATATATATATGTATACCGGCTTGCCGACAAGCATGGTGCCAACGCCACAACAATGTCAATAACAGGATGCAGTGTTTGGGATACGGAAGATGGCAAAAAATGCGAAACTGTTGAAATGGAAAATTGCAAATAAATAGTATAACAATTTTTTGTGTTTCACCGTGCGGTAAACAGTCACTTTGGAGATTTTCGGCAGTTCATCGTTATCTCGAACGGTTCACCATCCGAATATCGCAAGTTTTCCCCAGTTATTGCACAACGATAGGTTGCTGTTTTTATACTCTGGAATTCGCGCCTACAATCGATCCCATTTGGTAAATGTGACCAAGATGCAAACCTGTACCTGCCTCATCTCGGGTTTAACGAGCACACATACGGATATGTTCATGTTCTTCTTTATCACCGAGGAGCCAACTGAGGTTCTCAACCTGACCATACTCGGAGTTGTGTATGGCGCCACTTTTCATGCGTCTATAGACACAAAGATAGTTCTCGAGGATCACCATTTATTATCAACAATGGATGGAAGTTGAGGTGCTATGATATGCCAACTGCGTGTTAGTTTGTGGCCTTGCGCTGCGGAGCCATTGTTTCACCCAGTGTGGTGCCAGTATCGCGCTGTTCTGCCATTCGGATTCTATTACTGCATGCGTTTTTGGTGAATACCAGACGGGATAAAAGACACAACAGTAACGAGCCTCCACTATTCCCTCGTGATAGCCAGCGACCTGAGCCCGGTGATATGGAGGTGAGCCAGTTGCAACTGCTAAGAATAGACGTGGCAGTGAACCGGGCGACAGAAAGTTTAAAATTCCACAATCTGAGAATTCAGTGATGTGACTCCTGTTTGGATTCCCGATTGAATTCATTGATAATCAGAGGATATACTGCAAATTACGAATAGAACGATCGAAAGGGATGAAAAAGAAACTAGCACCCTACGGATCAATGCGTGGAGTTATGAATATCTGGAGGAAAGATTCTTTGAACAACCAGTATAGCCACAATGTAAAAACATCGGTGACCATGATAGATGAGGGAAAAATTAAAAGTGGTTGTGTACGGTGATGTTTTCAATTTTGCTCACCTACAGAACCAAACCAAATTCGCTGATAACATAGCGGACGAATTGAAGCTTCCAAAAGGGCTAACGCATCAGCCAATTCGGACAAAGTTTTCGCCTCGACCAAATGAGCAAGCCACCGTTTGCGCAGCGTCAACCATGCCGGTGTAAGGAAGGCCAGAGGGAACTGAAGTGCAAATAAACAGAGAGAAACAAACTTAGCGGGAACGTATGCGACACAAAACGGTTTTAATGCACATGTATGAATTGAGCGTACAACGATCCCACACCTTCGTTTTACAGTATCATAATGACAATGACAGATCGAGAAAGCCTACCTGGGGAGATGCGCGAACAGATAACCGAACTGTCGTAATCTGTCGCCCCAGTGTGACCGTAATTACCTACAAATCAGTCTCACCTCGGGATTGCCTGTCCGATTGCCACGCCAAACTAGTGCAATGTGGTGTCGATCATGGTGTTCCGAACTCGGTAGTCTCTCTCTCTCCCGTAAATACCATGTATCTACGTCGTATAGCTAAACCGAAAGACCTGCCGCAGCACACGCCATCCTTCAGACAAAGACAATTCAAAATAATAGAGAACGTGAACACGAGTCATTCGTGTCATCAAATAACTCCCCTAAGACACAGGTTATTATCAATGAACTGGAGTATGATTTCGTTGCACAGGGTGAATATCCTAACACTGATACGGGGCGTAAATGGGTGATGATCAGAGCGAGACCGTTCCTTTACCATATTCACACTTCCTCACTACTGATAAGAAAAGACTCATTTGTGTGTTTACCGAGGCGGACGATGGGTAGAAAAAAAGTAACGGGTGGTCAAACTCAGACCTAGCACGACTGTTTTTTTCATTACACACCGGTGTGATGGGAAGCAGACTGGGTGGAACCCCGTAGTTACGAAGACCTGCTGTATAGCGATGGTAACCAGCAACCTAAGCCTCGGGACTTGAAGTGACGAACCACATAAGGCCCCGTTAGGTTAGGTGTCGTATAGGACCGGACGACAGCAAAGCTGCATACTACCAAAGTCATGTGGCGGTGGCGGGGCTCGAACCTCGGACCATAGGGTCCGAAGCACGCCGGGGACAGCGAGTAAACCTTTGCGCTACCACCACCCTGATCAGGATACTTGCTCGCATTGGTCGCTCTAGGCTTCCCGGATGGGGGAATCGCGATCATAACAATCAATGGTTAGCCAAACTGAATGATATGGTAGAGTGTCGTAAACAGTGACGCCCGTGCATCTACTTATTATCCTTGCAACCTTGGTCCATGTGAATTCTTTATCTACTGTTCGACTCTGCTCGGAACATTCCATTCTTCCTTCTTTTCTTTTATCCAAATGAACAGTTATGAGACAGCAACCAATGGAATTGCACAGTTAATGGTTGTAACAAACAAAAGTGAAACTCGTGTGTAGATCATGGTTCTCACTAACTTATCACAGAGTGTAAACAAGTTATTGTTGCTGCTCCTTGACAGATCAGGCCGACTGAAGTGCTTTTTTAAACAATTAGAATGTGCATTCCGTGTTGATTTGCTTTTGACTTAACCCACCAACGCAGGACCGTTCCGCGTTTAACTTTCTCATTTTCGGTTACTTTGTGTGATCAGACAAGGGATATCTGAACATCTAAACATGATCATAACGATTTCGAAAACTGCTGTCAGTCTGCTGTTATCTGTTGAGATGCACCCGTCGAAATGTGCATTATTTTTCGATCGCAAAATTGAAAACCAAGAGAGGTATTCGGTAAACAGGATTCCCGCCTCAAGTTTCCACAAATGAAGTAAAAGATCGATGAGCAAACAGAAAGGCAAACAACAACCTGTCCATGAACCAGTAATGAAGTACAAAATGCATCAACCTATTTACCTGAGCTTCCATGTAAGCAATGGTCATTCGGATCACATCCACTGACTGCCACGGGCTTGCAGACCAGTCTGATCGAAAGAGATTATCATCCAGAGCACAAGGACATCTCAAAAGCTCCACAAGATCCGTGTAGAACGAAGCCATCAGAGGGGGCTCCACATAGTTCCATAATTCTGTGGCGGTTTCCGTAAAATTAAACTTGTTACCCAATACGCGTCGTCGTTCTCGATCTTCGGCCACTTGAGTTCGACTGAGGATCACGTTGACCGGCGCTGTAGAGCACTCGGTTTGTTTCTCCTCGCCCTCTCTTGCATTAATGGCGCGACGAGAACGTGTAACAGGCCTCCGTCGATCCCCAACTTCAGCGTTCATGTCATTATCGTTATCGGACTTCATTTCAGAAAGGCCGATGCGATTATTCGAACGATTGGTTTCCCGACTAGTACGTGATCTTTCGGTCGGTGACGATTCCTCGGGTCCTACCCACACACCGACCGTGTACAGGTTGGACCAGGAGCGCCAAGTACCCTCATCAGAGAGACGATATGCGCGAAGCGTCGGTTGTGCACGATTTGCATCAATCGAGCTCGTAGGCGAAACCGACGTGAGACAGGTGAGAGCAAAGGTTGCACGCTCCGTTGAGTCAAAAACTGTGTTGCAAATACCTTGCTTTTCACCTGCTGTCTGTGTAAAAAACGAGGTGTGCAACGAATGATAAACACATTGGGAAACCCCACAATTTCTAGCAATATAGAGCGAATTTAGATTTAGATTGGTGTTCACGGTGTATCAGAGCAGTCCTTGTTTAGCACAATCGGACAGATCACTATCTTCTTTCACTTCGGTTAATTGAGGTTTAGTGAAACTAGGTGATGGTACGTAAGCATGTAGGTAAACGCCACGAAGCCGTGCAAGATTACTGATTGGGGGAACTGAAAGCGATTTGATATGTACATAGGGAACCCCTGAGGCTCCTCATATATAGAACATGTTGGCAGACTTTCGTCGCAATTACATTACTTGATTGTTCCTGAAAACGTGTGGTGAGAAACAAGAGTACTGCTCACTCACTTTTACTTTCATGATTCTTGGTATTTGTGTAGTATCCTAAACCGTGAATGCGACTGTGTAATGGAATTGCTTCAGTAACCGAGAAGCGGTAATTCTTAAAACCGCAGAGCGGAACGCATTGTCCCAGGTTTGGAATGATTTCCAACTTTCCCGGTCACTCACCACTCCCAGCAGAGTTCGATTTGATCGTCCTGTTTATGAACCGATATTTAGAACTGCAATATACATAACCACTGCTATAAATTTATGTGAAATATATGACTGAGAATAGCAATAGTTCGAGGGGCTATACGAAACGATCAAATACTGCGAATTACAGAATTCATATCTAAAACAGCTACGACGCCACCCCGACAGTATTTGTCTTCAAAAGAATTAGTTTATATTGATAACAGTTTTTCTACATTTAGTTCTTTTTCGTTGCGGATGCTCCATGGCACGGCACAAGCGAATATGCTTTCTGAAGCATTTCGTGTGATTGATGACAACACTGGGAACAATGACAAAATCCGACGGCTGGTGTTGCTTACATATAGTTGTCCTTTAACTGAATTGATCCGCAGCAAGACCCTGAGCGATTATCGGTAAGCGACTCTGAGAAAGGAAATCAGTATTGATATTGTTGCAGACCTTCTGGCTGACACACTTGAGACCATTGCTGGCAACGTAAAACTTAGTATAAAACTCACCGGTTCCGGTTTATTCACTCGTACAAGCAAACCATCGAGATTCCGCACAATACATGTGTTCGCATCACAGGTTACCAAGGCACCAAGCACGGCACTTTCTTCACCAGCAGGAAGTTCATTCAGCAAATCCTCCGGCAGGACATCCGGGGCACGGGGTTTGACGGCATCTAATCCAAGTGTTGGTGGTGCCTGAAATGAAAATCAAGTAGTGAAGTAGACAAGGAAAGAGTTTATATATAATGATAGGGGTAATAGTCTATCAATGTCGAACACTGTTTGGGAAGATATTTTTGAGATTTTGTCAGCCAATGGTAACTAACCCACAAGACCCATTATGACGAAACGACACTTTGACGTGTTGCGATGGCATGCGAGCCTCTACGGCCTATGAGATATATAGGAGTGTCTCACGGCCGCAGATCCAATCATGACTGAAAAGTCGATGGGTAGAGGCCAGATAAAGCTCAGATTCACACCCCCGAAAATTAACCACTTGTTGCCTCCCAAGGCCTCAGTATGGTTGGGGGTGGGTGTCTAGGGTTGCGGCTGGTCACCCTGCCCTTGCACCTCACGAAATGCCCCCATACGACCAAGCGTCTCAAATAGCCTCTGCTGAGGAAGCCCTACTCACTGCCTTCTCGCGGCGGAGGTGTTTTCCCACCAAAGTGACAGGACGAAAAGCCAAAATCCGGGGCTATAGCCGGGTTGG